TGATGGACACTATAATCGATATTAGTGTATTGATGGACACCATATGCGATATGGGAGATAGTTGTTCCATCCATGGTGTCTACATTTCACAGCTTTTGAGGTACAATCGACCATGCTCTTTCGACCAAAAAATGATGTCCGATGCAATCCCCAACTTTAATTTGTACCATATGTTCCTGTGTTATTTCCAGGTGGATAACTGACTTGCCTTTGCATGTGTTTGTGACTTGTGCCACCCATGGGGCAGGTTACGCTCACCTTTTCGCGAACATTTGGTACTATCACTAGTCATAAACGCATTTCTAAGATATAGTCGAAATCGTACAATCGACTTTGCTTTTTTTTGTCGTATTTATTTATATTATGCAATTTTGCTTGTTTGTTGTCTAACGCCACCTTCAGCAATAATCAAGCTGTGTGGCGGCGGCCTGTAGATAATCGAGTCTGGACAAGCCAAACCAGTGACTGATACTATGAACAACGTCCCACATGATGAGGTGCGATGACGCGCCATCAACTAAGTAACCAGCCTTACCACCCGATTCTTTTTGTCGCCTCGTACGCAAGTGTACGTTTAATCAGTTCTCATAAACATCTAAACAGTTTAAAATGTGGAACATGGCATCATGGAAATATGAGCACTACACGAGGAATATGGTATTGATAAGAACAGACAGATGAAATAAGGAAACATTTGGTGGGCATCTTTATTGCTATACACGGTTTCGTTTTAAGACGGAAGTAGATTTCTTGTTCTAGAGTTTACAATGTCGTTTTTTCATTCGAAATATTATCTATACACATGGATAAAAATAAGTACACCTCTTCTTATTTTGTTAATTAATACTGAACGTCCATGCATCTTTCGGATATATCTTCATATGTAAACAAAAGTAAATATATTTTATTATAAAATATTATTTTAAATTATATGGAAATTGAAAGTAAGTAGTGCTTAACTTTCAGTGTTTATGTGGTGATAGTGTTGCTTAGGCAAGAGGAATGGTGCCAATTGTATTGTAACCCGATTGCGCAGTATGGAAACGCGATCGCAATACATATCTGTAATATGGTTTTAGCTGCAATATAAAACTGCATATGTATTATCGCTAGAATATTGTATTTTTTCATCATTAATAAACTTGACAAAGGACCTATGATCTAAATTATAATTGTTGATTTTATAACGTTGACATATTTTAAATTATTTTGATAAATGAAAATGTTACTTCATAACCTGTGTTTGTTTCATATTACATTAATTACAGTTACGTGCAATATGTAACCTGGTGTCATTACAGTTGGATCATAAACTAACAAGATATCGCGGCAAACATTAAACAAATGCAGTCGTGCTTTTCATGCATGGATTCATTTATGTCATACATTGCAATAACTCAAATATTCATTAACATTCAAATAACATTCAATGATACAATATATACAGCTGTGGCCATAAAAACACCAACAACAGCAACCTGCTTGAATACTTACAGATAGTACTTGCGTATAATCAATCAGACATGTTGACACTGTTGACTCCATCTATACTGGGAAATCAGATACACTAACAATATGTTGCTATGTAAATAACTGATTCAGATTCTAACAAACCAACAGCAGATGAAATATCATGGGTGAACCATATGTGAACCATATCAAAAGAGTTTGACGCACTTTGTATATACTGGTGTGTTCAAAACATGTTACCGTATTAAGCGGATAGCCGAACACTGTTTCAAGGGTTGATTTACTGGATCTTCACTTCTATCTCTAGAAACGGTGCTGGATAGCCATCCACATTCAGCCATTACCATGGTGTACCTACCGTAAAGTTGATATTACATTATTCATCGATGAATACCCATGACTACCCGTGACCGCCAATGATCACCATCCGTGACCATTCTTGATCACCGTAACCATCCATGACCTCCCAAGACAACAAATGACCACCACGGTCATGTGTGGCCACCATTGACCACCCAGGACAACCAGTCATCGCCCATGACCTTCCGTGACCACTATTGGCCACCCATGACAACCATTGATTGCTCATGACCTTCTGTGACTACCACTGCCTGCCGATGACCATCATTGATCACCCGTGACCTCCCATGATAACCAGTAGCCATCATGACAACCACTGATCACCCGTGATCAGCCTTGATCACCCATGACCATCCGTGACCTCACATGACCACCATTCATCACCTGTAACCAATCATGGCTACCAAAGACCATCCGTGATTACCCATGATCACCACTGCTCACCCGTGACCACTCATGAACACCCGTGACCACCCGTAATCACTCGTAAATACGACAGTGTACCTATAAGTGCCGAGGGAAGTTGATACTTTGTACCACTTTCATAATACTTTTCCCGTAATGTTTCCTGTTCAAATTTACTTTAATGTCAGTTGTAGAATATGAACATATGTCTATTCTAGTGTCTGATTCAACAGCACTAACGATGTAAGAAGGTCAATGAAATGTGCTCTCATATTTTTGAAGGTTTTGATGACATGATGTAAGTGATGACCATAAGATGATTCCGGGGGTAGAATAGGTCTTCAGCCACCCATGCTTGTCGTAAAAGGCGACTAAAGGGATCGGGTGGTTGATGCACAATTGCGTGGATCGATGCTCATGATATTAATCACTAGATTGTCTGGTCCAGACTCGATTATTTACAGACCGCCGTCATATTGCTGAGTGCGGCGTTAAACAACAAACCAACCAACCAACCATAAGGTTGATTTTACAACACCACAGTTGGAAAACTGAATGATAGAGCAAAAGAGGTCTGTTATTAATAGGATTATGGTCAGTATGTTAGTGTGCATCTCTGTACTTACTTTGTTATTAAAAATGCAATCCAAATGCAATAAATGTGCAATCTGTAGTGAGAGTAAGTGCATGTATGTTTTCCAATTTTACTTTGTAAATATATTTGCAAAAAACTCATTTTTTCTAAATTTCTTGATAATTGTAATTGATGATTCTTGTGCATCGTATGTCACATAAAAGTAATTACAAATTGACTGGCTGGGTATCACGCTTGAACCGGAGGCTGTCAGTTTACATAAGTCGGTTGTGTACAAATTGTTCTCAAAGCCACATGGTGCTTTTTGTATATATGACGTCCTGCCATCGCGTTATTTGAAATGTCTATACGCACACGAGAAAATGTGCTCAAATAGGCATAACGCTTGGTTGACTCTCTCCATAACGATACGAGTGATCAAATCTAACAAATATGCTTAACGAAACAAAGTTCGACTTACGTAAAAAACGTTGAGGGTCTATATACATATTTTAAATATTCGAATGATTTAATTATCAAAATATTATCACGTATGGCTGTCGTATTTCACAATGTCTGTTTAATGCAAACACAAGACATGACTTCGTAGAATCCTTCATTAAAAACGTTTATGATTAAATTTATTTTGGAATATACATTTAGGTGAATATTTTCTTTAGCACTAGCACAATATCTCCTCCCAGTGTCAACAGAACTTGTTCATTTTGTGTCAATATGCTTGATGAACACGTATCTCTGCAACCATATATATTTCTGACGAAGAAAAGTGGACATGTTTTTTTCCTTCTATCATTTTCTTCAAAACATGAATTGAACATGATAAGGACTGCGGTTATTTCCCCGTTGATAAAAACGTAAAATGCAGAGTGAATCTAGCTATCTTGGAATATATTGCTTTTCCGTGTCCTGTCCTAATCTTCATCACCTGTTCCCCATCACTTGGGTATAGTTATTTTATTCATCAGTCTAATCCTCATGTCAGCTGACTCGTTTGTCAGCTACAATTTCTTAACATATTCCAAGGGTCAAAGTTCAGACGCCCAGCAGCTGATCATATTGGTCGACTTGACACACTCATGGCCATGTTCTTATATACAATGATGTTATTTCTTTGAATAACACATAACACAAAACTCCCTTTTCTTTGCGGGTATTGTGATGCAGATGGACACAATGGACTTCCTGAAGATATATAAAAATCTAAGTAATATAATAATAAGAAAAAAATCAGTCGAAACGGAAAGAAAATTTAAAGCTTACCCCAATAAGCACTAAATCGGTATTTTACTACCATAACCTGGTCTGCGTAAACAGAAGATTGATATCTTAATGATATGTAGTCTATATGGTTATTATCATAATTATTCATTTTCGATTATCAATAAATTTACGTGATCAGTTACTTTTGCCTTTAAATCTGTGATAAAAACTTTGCAAACCAGTCTTATTACTTTAGTACAGTGCCTAGTTGACGATATTTTGACAGATAAAGAAAATATCGAAACGTTGTGTGCATTAGCGTGTTTTGTTACGATGTTCCTTGTGCTGGCAATCGGAAGTTTGAATATATTTGAATAAAAAACCATACAAAATTCATGTTGTTTCACCTTTTGTGAAGAAATGCAATCCAACATCAAGAACATGAGTTCATTCTTGAACACTATACTACTCCCATATACATGCGAGTATGTATTATGGCAAAACATATGACTATTGTGTTCACAGCGATGTTCATGAATTATTCTCCGTGATATGTTTAAGCAAGAAGCTCCAAAACAATATCTTAAAGTTTCTTGGTAGATGAAATGAATGCAGGGTTGACATCTGACAGGAGAGATTCCATTCAAATGTAATGTAAATTATTACTTCATTAAAGAAACTTGCGATGATAAAATCTCGATGAAGGAGTACTATATACCAATACATTTCATCACCTATTTGTGAAAAAACACTACATGACAATTATATATGTTCTTAAGAGAAATAAGGACTGTTTTTTGCTGTCGTGTGGAATACTTTAATATACTGATCTATTTTGATCATAGTTTATATTTCATTTTGAACACTTAAACGATGAAAGAAACGCTAGCATTGTTTGGATAGTTCATAGACAAAGTGTAATGACTAACGATATTTACTGAACATTCAAAACAAAACAAACATGTAAGTTGTGATTATAACATACTTTAATAACAAAAATGAGATTGTGGTATAGAACAACCGCTTGGACTGATCTCATTACGCCTGAAAGAGAATCTAACATCCCACCAGGTTCTCAAGACATTAACTTAAATATGTACATATACACATTTGGGGTTAATTTAGTTCAAAGGTTTGCTTTGGTTTGCCAAAGATTAGCACAATATTTTGAGATTGTCAAAATTTCGTTCGACATTTCTCCTTCGTTGATACTCATATATTTCATAACACATTTCACATAAATATATGTCTTTCTACCAGTCTCATCACAATCGGAATCTGGTCTTTCGGGAGGTACGACGCAGACCAGATCTTTGCTGTTACCTTGGCGACCAGAGGAGGGACTTCATCATCCACATAGCTCGGTCCTAGATTGACTTCTCCGTGAGTGACTGTCTTAAAGTTCAAGGCTACAAAGGGGACACAACTTTGTCAGACATCCTTTTTAAAGAAATTGCCATTACAACAAGCGGAAGGGAAGATTCCTCCCAAAATAAACATGACGTCACGAGCCGAGACTGACCAATAAGACAAACAGAACTGTAAGCAGACGACAGCTAAATTGATGATCAAGACTGAACAAATTTGTCAATATTGCAGCCGGAATCGTCACGACAGCACTTTGAGTGAGACATAAGTTCCACCATGGTCAATCGTCTGCTGGAGGGTTTGCTTTATATTTCGCCATCTTGTCATTTCACTCTTCTTAGTGGCATTGATCACGTGATATAACGTGCAAAGCAGACGATACCTGAGTGATGTCTTCGACGCTGGTGCTTAGCCATGACTGTGTGTAAACTGTCTTTTGATTGGCTGATCATGAAGCGTGAGGCTCAATGTCTTGGTGTTCCGCACTTGTGGATGGTGTACTTGTATCACTACGCGAATCATCACAAAATAGATCGTCGTCATCATCCGAGTCCATTTGACACACTCCGGCGTCTGCCGACGAAGACGATCGTATGTCATCACGTGACAGGCTTGGGTCTGACTGAAGTTTGAGCCGATCTGCTGCTGATAACTGCCCCTGTTGTTGTAATCTGAAACAAAACAAAATTAAAATTACAAATATTGTATTTGAATTACAGAAAAAATAACTTTTGATTTTCATTGTAGTCAAATACCCTAAGCTGTAAATATGATTAAGTATATACATATTACAAGCCGTCGTTTAATTTTAACTCAGACGGAGATGAGTTTTCTTACAAAACAGATTACTTCATTATTTTAAACAAATATTATTGTGTGATGTGAAAGTATACAAACACAAGAAAATCGAAAACAGTAGCATAAAGTAAATGTCAAAATCGTGTATTGTCATATGCCGTCGTCGTTCGTAGTCTCGCGAGATTTTGAGCGTCCGAGAACATCTCAACTGAGACGTGTAATACTGTTAGTGTAAGCGGTCAGTGGACAGTCAGGCGAATATCTTGTAATGGGTTTACATTATCTAACATCTCATATAATTTGGAAAAAATGAGAAAATATCAAATCTAATCAAAACTGACTGATAAATGGAACTTTGTGAAGAGGATTACAGGACCAGCGCCCCTTATCGTTCAAACTAGATTGCATAAATGGAATGAGACGGGAAAGCAGTTATAGTGATCTCAGAAATTGAATTTCACAGAGTGTATTCACATCTTCAAATCTGTAATAACGAGATTTGCGGGAATGCCGATAATACTGACTTTTATGATTAATTTACTGGACGAATGCCATAATGATATGTAAAACGTTTTAAGCGAAAATAAGTGCAGCACAAAATAGTGTTAATTCCGTTGGTTTGTTTCAGAGCACTATTTCCAAACGATATGTTTTTTTATTGATTTAAATATTTGTATTTATAGAAATAGTTGTCATGTTAGAAACCCGCAATATTGTATTTCGTTTATATGTTTAAATGTTACTTGTGTATAGTAAAACCCCAGTTAACGTATGTATTCGATATCGACACCTATGTTCTACATCATTCATCCTTTACTGTTCATGCTATTTGTTCAATACATTAACAAAACAAAAACTGTCATAACTATTAGCTCAGCAATAGTTTTGATTTAAGCTCAACCATAACTTACCGAGGGTATACATCTATTTAAGAGAAAATATCTACGATTGCATTTTATTTTTTGGGAGTTATATTCGTTGAAAATGGGAATTATGAAGTCGGGATTTCAACGATATTTTCTCAATTAGTCTATCAATACGGTATTCGATTTTAAATCACATATCCACCCTGCTATACTGTATGGTTGAAATAAAAGTAAAGAGTATACACTTCTCCTTATCGCTTCAAGTCGTTTGAGCGAAGATAAACGTGCATTCGTTCAACAATATAATATCATTATGTTCAATACATAATCATCAGTTACATTAAGTGTATTTATAGTATATCAATAATATCATAACACAAAACTAAACATGTGAAGACTTGTATGGGCGATTATATATGCTAATAATAACAACCATATCTTAAAAATGATTAATTTTGATATACATACTAAATGACTCATTTTTAGAAAGGTAATTTTTAATATAACGCGAGATGTATTTGAAAACTACGTGACAATGAATGTTTTGTAAAACATATTCCGAATCAGTCTCAAATCATTTACTACAATAAAAAAGCCAGTCGAACTCAGTGACACTTTACCTTTTTGCTGGAGGTATTGCAGTTGATTTGCTCGGATTTTTTTCTGAATTAAGGCAATTACTACCATCTAAACTGACAGGTTCACAACAACATGACATTCGGCTAAATTGCTCGGTTTGGCTGTCGCCAGGGTTTTTTCCGTAGTCCCGATATGAAGTCTATCTCTGTGATGATGCATGCGAGATATTGCAATCACTTTGTGACTTTGCGTGTGGGATGGCATATATTATAAACGGAAGGTCGAGTATATCACAATTTGATGTTTCATTTAGGTGAAATTTAAATACCGAACTGAAACGAAAACACGTTATTACGTGTCAAACTTGACCCTTACTAATAGCTATACAATTTCCGACAAGCACGATGATTCATAAATAATAGGACTACGAATTATCAATCGAGCCTGGCCGCCGTGTGTAGCATGTATTGAATGATCCTCGGACTTAGAATTGCATTCATAGCATTTTGACTATATAGATATACACTTATTGTTTTGAAAGGTTTGGCTATAAAACTACAGTCATATGCCGTACAGAAAGGTTTACGAAATGTATTTATTTTCCAGTCTATGTAATAAAAAGGAGTTTAGGCATGTATGAGGACAGTAACCACTTTTTATTTATAACTAAACGCCTAAACACATATACATGTAAAACGGATTTTAAAAAAGGCTAAGAAACTTATCATTTTATAGTAAAAATTTACAACACGTATGTTAACACTTAAACACTTACTGGCAAACTTAGATAAGCAACAATTTCAACTGCACTCATTATTTAATTATTGCGCGCACCTGTTGCAATAAAACATTAGAGATTGTTATAATTGAAATTGTTTTTTAATTTGTTGACTTATTAAACACCCCATCATACAATAAATAATACACCTGACTCCAAAAATATTGCTGATTGAAAATAGTCTTATTTGAAAGTTACAATGAAATATACTAGTGTAATTAAATAAACGTTTTGCATAAATAAACACGGGGAGTGGGCGGAGTGTAAATGTACACGATATGAATTATTCATAACATGTTTGCATTAAACCAAGTTCCGTTTCAATGAATATCCGATGCGCTTCATTCGTATTTAATGTGTCCAAAGTACACACGGACAATGCAACTATTCTATAGCTCCTCGCCTCTTCCACAGATCATATAGTTTGCTAATGGGGAAATATATTTATGATCATCGATTCTGTATATATACTATGCTTTTTATAACAACAGACAAATATCCCTGTCAAATTGGCGATGCACAATAAAATATTCATCAAAACCGCCAGTGGTATTGAAATCAAACTTGTTTCTGTCACTGTTGGTTTTTAGTATTGACTTAATCAAAACTAAACAATGCTCGATAGGGTATGAATAATTGAAAAAGACGCATGCACATAGATATTTTATAGGCAAACCCTGTTTAATGACTTATTAGAGATGTGTGTATACTGAAAATATGAAAATATTTACTATCAATTTAAAAGCCATTATTAGAAATTTTCTATAAATTTTCAGCTGTATTTTCGTTTAATTTTCTTTTCAGTTATACATACATGTATCTCAAAACGTCAGCGTTTTTCATTTTATTTCTATATTTCAAATATTTTTCAATGCATTACAAGTTTTATTAATATGGTATAAGTGTAAAACAACATCAGTTTGTAAATGTTTGAAACAAGTCCTCGTACTTTTCTTAATCCGAAAGTTTTTCAAACTTTTCAGTCAATGCAAACAGAATTTCATGAAATGTCGATTACTATTATGGGGTTCATTCTAATATCAACAAAACAGAAAAAAACTGTTTGAAATGATTCACCAAAAATTATGTGATCCGAGGCTGGAGGAACAAAGCCAGCGAGAGACAGCCTCGGCCAAGTTTAAAGATTGTCAATTTCAGAGGTACGTGCTTAATTGAGGCGATTCGGCAATAAAACCGTTGTTCATTTCAACATTGTTAAAGGGCTCATCTTCAGAGGAATATCATCTCTTGTAATTACTTGCACGTTTGTTTATCGATACGCTGATCTTAAGGGCTTGGAACCGAGGTGTCTTTATCAGCTGAAACCGACCTTCGTCAATTGCAAGAGAAATTGGATGCATTTCACGCAAAACCAACATCGGAAATATCACTATTAATCAGAGAATTTACTTTGGCTGGATACCGAAAAGTTGCGTCAACTTTGCAACAATTTCCGCCAATCACGGACCCTACGAGTCGTGACTGCGCGACACCTAAGTCATTTACCATTGATTGATGCTTGACCGTGTCAATTTCAAACCTCGGTGAAATCGCTATCTTTTTGTCGCCCGAGTCGTGTCGATAGCAGGTACCAGGGATATTATTAAAGAAAAAAGACAAGTAGTCTCATTTAGTTTCCTTTGGCTATACATTTCTATCTTCTTGTTGTGAGATGTTTTCCGAGTAATAAGTCTCCTATACAACCCTTACCAGTGAAGAGTTGTCCAACCGTTGGATCGGTCTTCGCTAACCAAACACACGACCAGTCGGAGCGCACTTGAGCGAGGCTCGAGGGTTGCTTCGTTAAAGCTCCATTCAAGGAAAATTCTGCCCCTTTCAATGTGGAATTTAGCTTAAAAGAAGGATTGGAACCTTTCAACTAGATCCCATGGTCATAATATATCATTTAGGCTACAATTAAGCGTTAGACCCTGTAGCTTTCATCAGACTCGTCCTCGCTTATATCTATGATGTATTTGACATGTCAATTGCAAATATCAACCCCCTCTCATTTTCTGAGTAAACGTTGCTAGATAAATCTGCTCTGTCTAACTTGCCATCTCTGTAAACTGACACTGAACTCCTTCACAAGTAATTATTTTTAAAAAATCCCCAATTCCGATGTAACCCCGAAATAACTCTTGCCTATTTCTCATCTATCCACACTCATGCGTGCTTCTATGTATATTTTTTAACGTTGATATTTTAACAAGACTCGTTATTATCCATCACTCCTGTATTCAACAGAGGCTATAAGTGTGTCAAATCTACATCATATTCTTAACGCTAATATTTTTTATAAGAAACAAAGCAAAGAATTCGAAGTATCGTAGAAAATATATAATTCAAACAAGCACGTGTCAGTTCCCCGTTAGGAGCATTCAAGCTTACACGCATAACAAACGCTACCCTAGGGGGTGTTGTAGATTAGCAAGCAACATAGCGCAATAAGACAATCAGGACGGATTTTATGTGCTAATTCGTTAAGCAACACGGCTCACTATTCCCACGGGTTGGTCTATGGACGTCAAGTATTCTTACCGAGGAATGTAACCCTGGAGGGGGGGTAGAGCGGAGGGGAGGGTAGAATGGGGGTAGGGGAGGTGTCACTATCCGATTATCGGGTTGCTAAGGTAAATAGTAAGGTGGGGAAACAGGGACGTGCTTATCTTAGCCGTAATCGTTATTGTATAGACATCGCACTGTAATAGACAGGTGTGTCATGTACATCATTCACGGTGTGAAATTGACAATAGCCAAACGCTACCACGTGTCAAAGACATGATAAAAATGAAATAAACACTCATTTTGTTATCATCCAGTGGAACAATATTATCTTTAATTTGGACCCACGTTATTAACTTGAATTATATTTATTGTTTCCGTAAAACCTATTACGTGATATATAGTTGCACTTCATCGTTTTTATAACAACTACATGTTAACGGAACGAGTAGATAGGGACGTATCTGATAAGCACATCTGTGATGTGTCATTGTATATTTCGAAAGGTTTGGAAGAGTCAGCGAAAACCTTCTAATAAATGAACATTTACCATCTACAGTATGACATGTTAACCACTGTGAACAAACGGGGAAGATATTTACACACAATAAGACACTCACTAAACAAGTGCCAGATTTGATAAAGTAGAAAATTGAATTGACTTGGTCATAATAGACATGTCTATCCCTCGGTTGCTGATATCACTTCGAAATGACAACGCGCCTGTCTTATAAATACTATTCGTGCTTCGAGAGAGAATTTTAACACAAGACAGTGTTCTGTCATTTTCAAAATTTGCTTCCGATGGAAATTGTATCGTGGAAATCTCATCAATCAACCGCACGTCAGCATGGAGAGGTTTGATTGTCTCCTTGTTGCTGATATTGCACGAAAGTTACTGTCTTCAGTTTTCAATATCTAAACTAGAATTGTCCTATCGCATTTTACAAAGATTTACAATCAAATCGGAAGTATGCTGTAACACAAAGGGGATTAATTGGTATCCAAGATATGGAGGTATTTCATAGGTATTGGACATCGAGTAAAGATTTAATGAATAAATATTTGAGTTTATTTAGCAAATACATTGTATTGAATTTAGAGTGTGATATCTAAAATATGGCATTACTATATGTCATGATATATAGATATGCTGAAAGAAAATAACCACGCTATAGAATTTTTTTAAACATGTTTCACTTTGGAATAATGCATCAGTTTTATTATGATACAGGGCGAGGGCGGTTTGATTTATTTGTCAGTTTCGTTGATCAAACTCCTATTTGTAAGAGCACGATCTTGTACAAAACTTGTCTTTTACTCACTCTACAGTATGGAAGTAATAGTTTTACGTTGTTATAATCTTCAACCATGTATAAAAGTGGATTCACTGAAATTCTAATATGGGAAATGATCTGAAAGTATTGTTCCAAATTATATCTCTTATAAAAAGGACAAAAAGCTATGATCTTAGGAGAATATTGGTAGCAGTCGCTTCTAAAATTCACTAGTTAGGCTTGCCAGACTTGATTCCGTGTTTTTTATTGCCTAATCTCTTGCCATGCCTCCCATGCATGTAATTTAAGGTACGGGTGAGGTCAAACATTAAGATTCGATTGGATTGTATCTGCAGGCAAATATGAAAAATTTATTTGGCGACGAGCGGTTGCTGCTGAGTTAACCTTCTTCCCTAAGGATCTAATCGAACACGCCGTCTTCAAGACTGCAATCCACATGCTCTCCAAAGACCGTGATTCTGTTCGTCAAGGTGTTCTTGTAATTAACACATAGGTAGTATTTATCACGCGATAGCTACGAAATTGATAAGTATTTACATGAGCTAATCTACTCGGAAGAGAATTTTATTGTTCAGAATGTATAAAGTGTGATCGAAATTGACACCATGTTAGCAAGCGTGATGGATTTACAAGTAAGTGTGTTAATCAATTGTCACTTGCGACCCGATGTGTATTCCCACAACTTAATCGCGAGTTTCTTTATGGACAAGAAGGATGTACGGGAGGCACATTGCATTGTTTATCCTCATTATTATGTTTTCATGTAAAATTAACATATTTCCCCTCAATAGTCATTTAACCGTTTATATAAATCCATCGTGAATAACAGCTAGTTTCTCTTCCGTGGATTAGATACACGAATCGCGATTGGTTGAATTACGATAAAATAGGGAAAACTGATTACATGACTGAAGCAGAACGCATGAAGAGTATGACATGGTGCCTGTCTTATTTTAGGCGAACTAACTACCTATGAACATCATCACCTTACTTGTCAACTTGGTGACGACATGGAATTTAGATCGACATGATTTAATTTAATATATTATTACAGCAGATATCGAATTACTCGTATTAGCATTTAACCTTTCATATACTTACAGAAATATTACAACTTCTATTACTTAACATGCATCTGTTACACGCTGTGTAGTAATTGCGCTTGGTATGTGAAATAGTATTACGGTTTCTGAATGAATAAAATTAATAATAATGAAAAACATGATTTTAAAATTATCAGGTCTAAATAATATCAATCAATATTACGACGACCAGTAAAATCGTATGTTATATGCTGCATATGGAAATACCCTCCAATATCGCAAAGTGCATCCTGTTAAATATGATTTGAAGCAATTACAATAGTAACTAGACTATACAGGTATGCCTGAAGCAATTTATTGAATTTTGCGACAAGCTATTTCCTCATACGCAGCAGGTGCGGGGAAAGTTTTATTTAAAATTCACGAATTGTTGCATAGCTTGTGTGTATAATAAGTGCGTCAGAATAAACTTTGTTATGAAGACAAATACGGAATACATTTCATATAAATGAGGTCACAGGTTTCACGTATTTGAGTAAAGCATACACCGCATTCAAGTAGCAGTAGCATGACGAATGAAAACATTGATGTTTGTTGCATCTGTATCTTTAAATTAACAATTTTGGAAAATGTAATTGATGAGTAAACAGAACACGTTTCCATACAAAAAGAACACACAAACACATGCTATGTTTCCGAAACGTTCTATATATGTTAAAATGCATGAACTAGTCACGCATGAATCGTGTTTCTACATAAGAGATATGTATTGTCCGACATAGCTCTTGAAACGAATATACATCCTTAAATCATTAAACTATTTTTTTTATATTTCTGAAAAAATACTGAATAATATAATGAACAAAAGAACTAATATTTACAGGACACATTCGCCTTAAGCTTCCTGGATGGAGACATAAAAACAAATATTGATATACCGTTTAACCGTCGATTTAGCAGTCATACAATGTTTCTCTTAGTTAGGGAATATAACTGAAGCAGAATAGGAATTTAAATATGTTTGTGTACAAGTGGTGTTCAGAAACGGGTGTGTGAAGAATATATGTTTTAAAAGGTTTTCTTACCTATTTTTTGCGGCGGCCGCTCTGTCTCTCTGCCTTCGATTTTTAAACCAATTCCCAACTTGGGTAGGCGTTAGGCCCGTGGCCTGGGCGAGCTCCCTTTTCTTCGTGGGATTGGGGTAGGGGTCTTGTAGGTACCATTCCCTCAAAAGATTCCGTGTGCGTTCTTTAAAACAATGGGTTTTCTGTTCGCCGTCCCAGATTGTTCTGGGTAGGGGATATTTCTTCCTGACTCTGTATTTATCAACAGGGCCTAAGGGTCGTCCTCGTAGTTTTTCGGCTTCCTGGTAGTGAGCTTCCAGCCACATCGCTTGCAGCTTGGCATGGGATTCTTTCGTGAATTTTTGATTTTCTAAAATGTGGTACAGGTCTCTGAAATTGCCCGTGTGGAAGGCCACAAGGGCTCGCGCCCTGAGGACCGACTCGTGCTTGTTAAGTGCCTCGCATGCTGACGGATTGACGGGTAGTGACCACAAAAATCGTCCTAATCTTTCAATGTCCCCACTTTCTTCCAACGTCTCACACACCTTGGCAACTTGCTGTGGGGTGAAATGTAGGGTGGGGAGGGGGAACATCGCTGGGAGTAAGGGGGTATCGACTCCACAAAGTCCAAACATGAGTCCTGTTCGGGTGGTGTGACGCCTCTCCGACGACGCTAAAGAAATGCTGGTAACTGTCGAGTCCCTTCCTAGGATGTTATTTCTTTAAGCGCGATCGTACATCGACACTATTATAAACAGAAAGCATTGGGGAGTGGTCACCATCACCTAATGTGTCACTTTTTATCACAAGGGCTGCAGAAATCGGGCCTTACAATCACACACATCAGGCAGCCCAATCGCCAATTGCCTTCTAAACGATTGGGCGAGGGCAGATCCTTCACTTAGTCGTCATGGAGACACTGTCAATCATCACTGATAGCTGTCAATCAACCGCTCACAGCCAACACCGCGCGGCCGGTACGGTTGGTCGGATTAGCTAGCGGTAAGATAGCTTCAGTGGGATGTAAACACAAACCTCGCGCTTCTCAACTGAAGCAAACACATGGTTTCTGGTGGGATCGGTAACCGTCATCAATGTTGAAGTTTTGTCTGTAGTGGTAATAATAGGGATTGCGATCTCTGGAAAGATTTACATTTTATAATTCGGGAAATCTGGGTCCCTTGACACCGTGGGATAGATGGCATGGACGGTGTACGCTTGAATTGTCGCGGAATTATTTCGGATTCTCACCGTTGGATGTTTTGTCCCATTGCTAATAAGGATATTATCTCGTAAATGACCACTCTAGTTTATTTTGACAGGGAATTAATGGGTTGCTTCCATTATGTCGATATTGGTGCATTAAGTAAACATTGATTATCTTATTTAATCTCTAAGCCAAAATCAGTGATATGAGTGAAAGTTGTTACAATAAAATGTATCCAATATATGTGAAAGACGGTAAAGTGATAAACCAGATTACATATATTAATAGATAAAATACATAAAACGACCTCGTTAAGTCTAAAATGTCAAATTTAAAACTTAAAAGAATTATTAGAATATATTTAATCAACTATGCATCCTAAAACGCTTCGTCTATTTTCATCCAGGGAACAAAACTGACAACTTATGGAATATATATCCTAAAACACTTCCACCATATTCACAAGACGCAAAGCCGACAATATATAAAACAAATCCACTTATTGGACTTATGTAATAATGCAATGTGGAAAAGGGTACAAACATACCCTTAAAACCCACTAAAACATCCGGAATATCATATTACTTAAGCTATTACGTTTTCTGCTGATACATTTTGTCGACCAGGTAGACTGGGTTTTATTCAAATCCTCATAATTTATGTACTTTTCAAATTTCACAATATTTTTTACGTAACATATATGTAACTACGTGTAACGCCATGACATTTTATATGTACATACAGTGTCTAAAAGAACACATGGCATTATTTTGGTCAATGTTTTGGTCAAAGGTATGGATAATTTGAACTCGTTTTATTCTGTCGTAAATTTGTTGCATCCTCGTCTTGTCTCTCGAAAGTATATGTCACCCACGCATAACTCATCTCCAATTATGCTAATTAAAACCACAGTGAAATTGATTAAATAAAACACGTCATCTTGTTATCATTACAAACGTTTCCTTATATATTTGGTTTAGCGGCAAAGGACTGAGAGTACTATACCCTATTTGATCTTAAATACATATAAGGCATTACCACAAAACCCTTACAGCGACCTGTGATACAATCCAAATAAAAACACAAATACTCATACTAGATACTTCGTTTGAGTATAAATGGCATATACATGGCATATACACACTAATCCAACGTTCCTGCTTCTAAAAGCGTTCTGGTTAATATACTGGGCCACGTCATACTGAAGTGCCACACAAACCATCAGAGTACGGAAATTGTGCCCTTTTCTTCATGTCATGATCAGCTGGTCTTCCAGGTGTGCGTTATAAATATTGATATAATAAATATAGTTAAGCTATTATGAAGCATGAAAATAGGTTGACGAATTGTAATTTACACAACTAATTTAACCCAGTGATTACAGTGATTAAGATAATGCCACCCTTAGATGAATATTATCTCCCGTTTTGTTATTAATCAACTTTTATTAATTATTAAATATCACTCTCAAATCATAATATGAGTATGTAAAGGTATAAGGCAATATATCTCCGTCCAAGCTGTTTGATAGAGAGAAAAAGAAGGAAACTAATATCAGCTCCTCACGAAACTTTGTTGATGTTAATTGCATAACGAATGTTTATTTCAATATGATGTCTATTTCACGTCATCTGTAACAATTACGATGTCAATAACAAGGCAGTCGTACGTATATTCTATATAGTTATGAAGTAATAACCAGTCTTGAGAGCTTTTGCACACAATTTAACCATAGGCTGAAGAGAAACTTTTGGAAATTTTTCAATTTGCTGTAATAGTTCCCCTGAAATAAAGAGAGACTCAAGTGATTAAGTTTATTAAAACATTGATGTGACTTTGTGAAATGTGCTAACCCTTTCTCATAACATGGTAAATTAGAAAATCACTTGTGAAAATTAATAATCTATAGCAGCCCGAGTTTGTTCATCGTTAAATCTAATCACCACTTCCCCTGGGCCTCAAATCAAATCGTTTACATGTTACTGTCTATTTCACTGCAGCTCATATTTTGCGATTTGTCTTGTCTTAATTTGCCGAAACTGACCAAAAGCCAATTAGCAAGCTGCCCGGGCCACGCAATCGGTAGTAACCCAATAGTTCAGTTCAGTGGTGCTGCACACAAGCTTGTCGTATCAAACCTCCCAGATTTATGCCGCCTTCTACATTGATTTGAGAAATTTCGCTAACGCCAAGCATATAGCCTCTAAGAGGACAAAGCCCTTAGTTGGACGTAGTTTGATAAAGAGAATAAATATGACGCCTTTAAACCATAAACTGAGTTCCGTCTTCAGATTGTAAATCTAAGTCGTGAACTGGGTTCACTCTACCATAAGGTGTCCTCAACATACGCTCATACAAACATAAGGTGACACCAAACTAATAATATAGGTAATTGCACTCATAAAACATGATGGTATTGACTGTCAGTTCGCGTGTAGATTTTTTAATTTTTCAAGAGATACATGTATATTTCTGTTAATGATTAAGTCCATACGGTTGTAGTGCGTGTATTCATTTCTTTGAGCGACACAAACTGTAAAGAACACGTTTTCAATACCGAATGCATCTTTCCTGTTTTGACTTTAATTTAAATATGGGTGTTTGAAAGACTGAATTTTTCAGTGAGCAGAGTCTGTAGTCTGCCTCTGAAGTAGACTTAAAACAATGATTTTTTCAACAATATACAATGGCACTTTATCATGCTTATGAATGCACTCTGCTGCTCAAGGATAGACATGTATGTATACAATTCACATGGCCTATTCCTTGTATCTGTCCTCTCTGGATCAGGGGCGGTCGGGTAGCCTAGTGGTTAAAGCGTTCGCTCGTCACGCCGAAGACCCGGGTTCGATTCCCGACATGGGTACAATGTGTGAAGCCCATTTCTGGTGTCCCCCGCCGTGATATTGCTGGAATATTGCTAATAGCGGCGTAAAAAAACATACTCACTCAGTCAGTCTCTGGATCATGTATTTAGTGTCCCAGGGTTCATGTGGCGCAAAAGAAAATAGACTTATTAATATTAATCAAATGTATCCGGAATCACAATATCCGTTAAAAACATAGCGGATAAGGCAACAACAAATAAATAGGTAATAAGTATTAGTCCCTGGGATGGTTCCTGTCCCAATAGGTCCCCAGCATCTCATGCTTGTCGTAAGAGGCCACCACAGATCGGGTGGCCAGGCCCGCTGACGTGGTGGATTACGTGACATCGTACCCTGAAGGCGTTATACGTTTCTCATGATATCAATCACTTGTTCGTCTGGTCTTGACTTGATGATTTAAGGGCCACATTCATATGCCGAATATTGTCGAGTGCGGTATTCAACAACAAACAAAAACAAGTATTAACTATGGTTATTCTCTAACTATGCCAGTACATATGAAAGATATATATATTGAAATTAATTATTTAAAGAATGAAATAAACATTAATTTCAATTTTACTTTAATGTGATGTAATTGTAATTTTGAAATATGAAAACTGGTTATTAAATTGCAGATCATTAACAGTTTGGGTCCAAATGTGGTACCTTGTTTCTTAAATATTGCTGATATCTATCAAAGCCACAAATACCGTACCTTTATTATTGAATACATGTACACATTATCTTTGCATAGACTTAAGATACATGTATAACGCAGACTTATGTCCAGTTCAAATCTCCACTTTATAGAGCACATACCGCTATATAGAACACTAGGGCAGAATTGTTTTTAAAAATCGAACTATTTTTTTTCAGAATTGTTCTTTTTTTAAAACTGTGGATCAAATCTTTTGGGCGAGAGGACTAGCTATGGCACCGGGACGCCACCGGGAGGATCAGCTCAGAGATGCTGCTTTTGGCCCAGTTCGCTGAGATTTTCTTGAAATAATTATTTGTCAGAACTTCTTCATTCATATTTTGCTAATTTGAATTGAATTTGAATCGCGACATAATTAAAAATGTTGAACTTTAAGTGAAAATGCAAATGACCATATTCAATACCAGGAATTCTTTGAATACAGTTGCATATTCATTCAGTAGAGTTGACGCATAAGTTGTATGATCATATCAATATACAGCTTCAGAGATTTTACTACATTCATCCATACATACATGTCGAACTACATTCATAAGCAATTAGTAGTAATAAATGCACTGACACCCGTCAACGCTGCGAGTGTCATTGCTGTCGTCGTTTCGTCAGTCTAACTTCCGAAATCCGCATGTTGATTGATTAGAAATAGACAAGTACTGATATAATCTCGTGCATTATACTTTCATGTATATTTCATCAGCTGTTGAAACAGACCTGGCTACATCTCCTACGAGATCTGATGTAGTTTTCATCCCTACATAATTAACACTGCCCTCAACTGACCTCCCTGACCCGAGAGTGAGACATTGCACGGACCCCAACCTATTTAATTACCTTAATTTGAATTATATATACGTATATTCTGCACATATACGCGTTTTCATACCAAGTTGATGTCACACACGCACCCATTTGCTATACAAAGTGAGGTGAGATAGGGTTTAATCGTCGCATTCAAGACTCTTTCACTCATATACCGACATGCATGTATGTGTGTTTGTGGCTGCTTGTACTGGACCGGACTTATGTCGGCTTTACGGTGCTAGCCCACTGAGATA